CCCCAAAACCCCAAAACCCCAAAACCCCAAAACCCCGTATTGAAGAAGACCTATTGAAACTAGAAAGCTGAATTTAAATTAGATTCGAAAATCGTCAGAAATAGAGGAAAAGAACTTAATATTTTATCTTAAAATATTGAACATTTTCTCCAAAAATATCTTACAACCACAAGTATGCCTTATGTATTGCCTAAATTATTATGAGTTCAAAATGATTTCTCTTAGTTCTTATGAACTTTATTTAACTTAAAGAGGCTGGAGAATATCAAAAACCTATAAAAGTTTCTAAGAAATTATTATAATCTAATCACTATATTTTTATACATTTGTAAAGAAAAATGACATCTTGAAATCTGAAACTAAAATAGTCTTGAACCCTCTAAACCCCAAAACCACTATAATAAACCCATAAACCCCTTCTAAAATCTTCCCAATCCCCAAACAAAATCCATAACCTTCCTATTCTCCCAAATACACCTAATTACTAAGCAAATCCTTCATCCCTTCCTAAATATTCATATCTAAAATCCACCCGGCCCAATCCTTAGAAATCCAACACAGCTAGAAGCAATTGCTTATGGTTATGAATTTGATGAGTTAAATAGTAAGAACTCGTTTGAAAAACAAGTCCTTAAAAGGCAAAGCAGTTACGCTCAAAGCCTAGAATAGGGTATTTAAAAGGCCTCCTCTGGGATTAAATCTCTCAAGATGTCTCTGAATCCTTGGGCGTCGTTCAAGTTGATAGAATCGAGCTTAGACAACAGCTTTATAATAATATTTTTAAAGCATGTGTTTTGTCTAGCAATATTCTGAAAGTTTGTTTTAGAAGACAATGTTCTAATCTTGACTAGATGAAGTAAGTTTGTGCATTCATCGCAAGATAGATAGTTGGCTTCGTTCAACAAAGAAATGATTCTTACAACTTTAGACTCAGGATAAGCGAGAATTATGAATTGACAGAACAATCTGATCTTGTCATCAACAGCTTCGCTATCAAAGACGGTGGGTATAAATCCAACCGTGAAAGCTTCAGCATAAGCTCCAATAACCTCTTTGATATTAGAGGATTTGTAGCTAGCTCTTGAGCTTACATATTTGAGGATATGATCGAAAACTTTCTTAGTATCTCTACAGATAGAGATAGTCTTCGCATCTGTCCTTTGTTCAGAGGTTCTCTTGTTTGCTTTCTTCTCGATCATATCGAGAACAGAGCTCCAAATTACATCTTTATTGATGTTTTTAAATTTCCTTGGTCTTCCTTTCCCTTTCTTATTTTTCTTTTCTTCATAAAGTTTATCATAGAAGGGCTTCTCAAGTCTATCCTTCAAGAACGAAATAATTTCGAATTCTTCTTCTTTTGGAGACTCGGACACAGAGCAAGTAGCGCGAACTGAAACTGAAGAGATATCTTTGCTCAAAGAATTCTCAATAGTCTCAGGCACTTTGACATCGTCTTCTTTTGAAGCTTCATTAGTGCTACCATCATGTTGGAAAAATAAGCCTTCATGGTCACCTTTCGTCAAGTCTAGCCCTTCCTCATCATTCCCAAACAGAAGATCGATATGTTTATTCTCTTCAGAGAAGTTCACTTCTTCCTTTATAGAAACATCAGGGTTGCTGAAACTGTAGCCATTCAGGTTATCTAAACGCTCAATGTCCCCAAGCATGCTTGAGTTGAGCTCAGATTCTGGGGAAGTAGGCTTGAACCAATTAGTCTCTTCCAAGAAGTATGCTCCAATAGGCTGAACCTCAGCATAACTTTTGGCAAGATACATGTCGCTATTTACTAGATCCATTTTACTTTGGAAAAAATTTAATTATATTGGTTGAAATACTTTTCTTATATATTTTCATCCTCAAAACTGTAAAAAGGGGTTTTGGGGTTTTGGGGTTTTGGGGTTTTGGGGTTTTGGGGTTTTGGGGTTTTGGGG